AAAGAGAGAGAGAGAGAGATGGACACCTTCCACAGTGTCTGGTCATGCTGCAATCCCCTTCTTCCTGTCCTCCAGTCTGCTGGATCTTGGGTACTCGTGCAGGTGTTTTGGGCTGACCAGGCCAGGGATTTGAACCATAGTTGCCATGTGGGATTGGCTTCTCTGGAGCAGCACTTAACCAAGGTGCCATGGAGCCAGCCTAAGTTACTTAACCTCTCTAAGCCTCAATTGACCCATTTGTAAAGTGGAGATGAGAATAACATCCAAATGGGTTCAGTCACAGTGGCTCACGCAGCAGGGACACTGCCGTGCAAGACTGGAAGCCAAATGAGGTCCTAGGTTTGGTTCCTGAGTCTGCTGTGTGCACACACAGGGACATGTGTGATCTTGGCTGGCTGCAGGGCTGAGGAGAGGGTCACAACATGAAGACCCTATTGAGGGTACTCACCATCTCTCTCTCAGGAAATAAGTAAACTTCAAAGATAGGTATCCATTCCACTGGCTTGTTAAGATGAAATGGGTTGGTCTAAGTAAAATGTCTGCCTGAAGTAATGCCTTACACACAGCATGCATTATGGAAGTTTTGAGAATTATTATTATGATTGATATCCACCCATCTTTGGGCCTACTTCACTACTTCTCCTTCAGGACCCTTTCTGGAAGGACACAGTTCTGGGGTTTCGGAAGCTGACCCCCAGAGAGCTGGACATGTTCCCAGATTTTAGGTAAGATCATCGTCATGAGTGAAGGGGTGGAGGACCCCACAGTGCAGACAGACCTACCCAGCAGGCAGCAGAGGATGGAGGCACCAATGTCCTGTCTCATCCCACCCCAGCCTAGCACCCCTGGGTAGGTGCTCTGTCCAGTTTCTTTAGAGAGCCCCCCTTTCACTCAAACTGGGCCTGGACTGGAGACCCAGGGGTATGGAATTCAAGAATCTCAGCACTGTCTTGTTTTATAGATGAAGAAACTGAGCTTCAGAGAGGTTAAGAGATTTCCCAAGGTCACACAGACAAGTGACCAAACTGGGATTGTGTAACCAACTCAGACTGTGTAACTTTAAACTCCTCTCTTCTTTTTCTACACCTGATGGTCCTCTCCCCTCCTACCCCATGCCTGAATCCCCTCTATAAATGTATATCCAATAGCCACTTGCACATCCAATGTCAGGAATGGCTTTGCCTGATAGAATTTTTCTTCCCTTTTGCTTTGAGCTTAAAACCACTTTTTTAAACCCACTTCCTCCCCTGGGTTCCCTGCAGTGGTCCTGGCTCTACCCTTTGAGGATGCAGAGAATAACACTGTTTCCTCCTCCACTTGACAGCTCTCAAATATAGCTCTGGTTCTAACTTTTGTTTCACTTTTTACCTGCTGTGACTCTAGCTATGGCTGGTTCAACACAAGTCTGCTTCTAGAGGGGAAGCGCTACCTGCAGTGGCTGACTGAGAGGTGAGATTTGAAGCTTCAGTTTGAAGAAAATGCCTCCCAGGGACCAAGTTGTAGTAAAAGATTGTCCATGGGATTTCTCTTGACCAACCCTAAGGGTTGAAAAAAAATACTTAAACTGAGTTTTGGAGCCATCCCTGGTCCTGATCACTGTTGTGCATTGTGACCATTGAGGTTATGGCTCTTGGACCTGAGTGGGCATGAGAACCACCCAGACAGCTATTCATGTGTGATATCTATTAAACACCTCACTAAAATCCCTGATGTTTGTGTAACCATTTATAATGGATTCTCTTAAGTTTTCCAGATACATTTATGTAATTTGCAAAACAAAAGTTGCCTTTTATTTTTGTGAATCTTTTTGTTTGTTTTCTTCTCCAATTGCTTTGGCCAGTATCTCCAGAACAATGTTAAATAATACGGTGGCAGCAGATGTCCCTTTCTTGTTCCTGACATTAATTGGAATCTTGTAGTATTCCAAATTAGCAAACACTAACTTGAAGGACACATTGACATTTATATTCACATATATCCATATTAAGGAAGGTTCCATATATTTTATACATGTAACTATTTTATTAAGTTTTTTATTTTTAAATCTGGGACAAATGGCCTTTATTAAATGACAGGAAGATGTTTTAAAACATAGACTTCACACAAAAAACACATAGCTTCAGGGACCAGTAGGTGGTGTAATGGTTATATCACTAGACTCCCACCTAATTGACTGTGGTTTGAGTCCTAGACCCAACGGTTTGACACTCATGCCAAACATGAGTGTGTGCATGCCCAAAATCCTGAGAGGAGAATAGAGAAGGAATTGTAGCATGGCCATCACCTGTAGGGGGTGATTTCTTGCTTTTTGTCTTTCTGTCTACTCTATTCTACTTCTACTCTACCAGCGAGTACATGTAGCCTAGAGCAAAACTCTCCCTTTTAAAAAAGAAAGACAATAAACACACACACACACACACACACACACACATATAGTCTTCAGAACCCAACTTTATACCTACTGAATCAGAATCCTTAGCATAGAATTAAGAAATTTGTGTTTTAAAAGTTTCTTAGAGAATTCTAATATGAGTCAAGTTTGAGAACCATTGTAGGAAGCAGAGTTATTTTCTCTTAAACTTGGGATGCTTAAGACTTTTTAAACTTTTTATTTAATTAATTAATTTTTAAACTTTTGCTGTAGGGCATGTGTGCTCACCAGAGAGAGCCAGAGAGAGGAGAGAGAAAGTGATAAAGCAAGCCACCAGGACTGGGGCTTGAATTGCAGTCAGCCATGTGGGAGTCCAGCACCTTAACCACCACACCATCTGCTGGCCCCAAGGACACCTGTGAATCTTGTCTAGGTCCTTCCAGGACACAATGCTGCCTGTTTTTTGTTTTTTATTTAATCATGAGGAAATTGTGTAGATGAACTCGTCCTGAAACTATGCTTCAGCTTGTATACATTGTACTTTATTTCCTGTTCTATGTTTCTACTGTATTTCTAGTAGAGACAGACATTTTCCCTCTGGAACATTAAAGGAGGGAATGTGTTCCCAACCCACCTCCCTTCTTATGTCCTGCTGACAAAGAGGCATTTGGCCTTGGTCCAGCCCTGTTCCTCCTCTGCCCTGGATCTCAACCTCTTCTCTGCTGCAAAGCAATGCAGTGGTAGAAGGAAGGACAGGGAGCTAAGACCCCTGGGTTTGAGTCCCAGCCCCATCGAATACTCACTTTATGATCTTTAGCAAGGTCCTTCTCCCATCTCCATCTGGTCTATAAGGGGCTTGGACCACCTTGGGCTTCCCAAGGGACATTTTGTAGACTACTTAGTCCAGCAAGGGGCTCATGAGCTCATCTGATTATAGTCTTTCTCAAGGAGCCTCCTGTGGCGCAAGTGTCCTCAGAAGGTTCTTTGGGAAATGTCGTCTATGACACCTGCTTGAGAGAGAGCCAGAGAGAGGAGAGAGAAAGTGATAAAGCAAGCCACCAGGACTGGGGCTTGAATTGCAGTCAGCCATGTGGGAGTCCAGCACCTTAACCACCACACCATCTGCTGGCCCCAAGGACACCTGTGAATCTTGTCTAGGTCCTTCCAGGACACAATGCTGCCTGTTTTTTGTTTTTTATTTAATCATGAGGAAATTGTGTAGATGAACTCGTCCTGAAACTATGCTTCAGCTTGTATACATTGTACTTTATTTCCTGTTCTATGTTTCTACTGTATTTCTAGTAGAGACAGACATTTTCCCTCTGGAACATTAAAGGAGGGAATGTGTTCCCAACCCACCTCCCTTCTTATGTCCTGCTGACAAAGAGGCATTTGGCCTTGGTCCAGCCCTGTTCCTCCTCTGCCCTGGATCTCAACCTCTTCTCTGCTGCAAAGCAATGCAGTGGTAGAAGGAAGGACAGGGAGCTAAGACCCCTGGGTTTGAGTCCCAGCCCCATCGAATACTCACTTTATGATCTTTAGCAAGGTCCTTCTCCCATCTCCATCTGGTCTATAAGGGGCTTGGACCACCTTGGGCTTCCCAAGGGACATTTTGTAGACTACTTAGTCCAGCAAGGGGCTCATGAGCTCATCTGATTATAGTCTTTCTCAAGGAGCCTCCTGTGGCGCAAGTGTCCTCAGAAGGTTCTTTGGGAAATGTCGTCTATGACACCTGCTTGGAGGGGTGGGGTGGAGAACTGCACCCTAGGCTTTCTGATGTGTCTGCTCATCCCAGGTTAACAGAGAGGGGAGTGCAATTCTTCCAGCGGAAGGTGGAATCTTTTGAGGAGGTGAGTTGCAGGGCTGAAGGGGAGGGCTGTGGGAGGGTGAAGAGGAGATGCCTCTGCTTCGTGTTGCTGTATTGGGACCCCCTTTTCAGGCTCCCAGGGTCCCCTTAAACCAGTGCCAGAGTTGAGACTTTTTTTTCAATCACAGAAAGACTTTGGCATTCTGAGGGAGGCGGTCTCTGCCTTGTTGCTGGTGGCAGGAACAAAGGAGCAGATGGGACCCCTGGCAATGTCTATGTGTGGGACACTCAACCTGGGATCATTAGAGGCTTTTTAATATCTGAGCCACAATGAGTTTTGGGGCTAGAGAGCTGGCTACCTCTTCCCAGGGTCAGCTGTGTTCCAAGATCCAGATGTTTGGTTGCTCCCTACTCTCATCTGAGCTGATGTTTCTGCAAAGTCCAGGCTGTCAGCCCTACCTCCAAAGTAACACCACCACCAATAACAGCAGTGGCAGCCGCCATCATCACGCACTGGCTGTGCACATGAGAACGTCACTGTGCGGCTCCATTCAATCCCGGCACCTAGAATGATGCTTGGCACCAGGAAGGCGCTCAGTCCATGTAGCTACTGTATCATGGAATGAGGACCCACCTGCTCTGGGTCAGGCCCTGATGGGTACTTGCGGGCAGATGGAGCATCTATTAGAAGAGCTGCACAAGTGACTCCGCCTCAGTCCTCATTCTTGGACACTGGCTCATGGACAATAGTAATGCACTGCATGTTTGTGGCCCATGACAGCTGGGCTTGGGTTACTGAGTATCTCACACACACAGAGCTCAGGGCTCCAGTGTGTCTTTGGCAAACATCTTGGCAGAGTGAAAGGCAAGAGAATGAAATAAAAAGGAATCCAAAAGAAAAAGAAAGAAAAGAAAAGAAAAGAAAAGAAAAGAAAAGAAAAGAAAAGAAAAGAAAAGAAAAGAAAAGAAAGAGGGAGGGAACCAGCAGTTAGCGTAACGGCTATGTCACTGGACTCCCATGTAGTCAACCGCGGTTTGCATCCCAGACCCGGTGGCTTAAAACTCACGCCGGGCGCATGTGCATGCATGCCCAAGATCCCAAGAGGAGAATGGAGGAGAAGGGATTGAGGTGTGACCATCCCCCCTGGGGGGTGATTTCTCTCATTCTGTCTCTATGTCTCCCTCTGTCTGTCTGTCTGGCGAGCGCACGCGTCCTATAGTGAAAGTTTGGGGAGGCTCCCTAAAGGGAAAATCCTCAAAAAAAAAAAAAAAAAAAAAAAGAAAGAAAGAAAGAAAAGAAAAGAAAGAGAGAGAGAGAAAGAAAGAAAAAAAAGCAAGCAAGCAAGCTAACTTTGCTTCCTTTCTACCTTCTGGAAGGTAGAAAGAGGATTTCCTCTTCCACAGTCTTCATTTTCAAGCACTTTCATATACAGATGTGAGTTCCTTATAGCAGCCTATGAACAGGCATGGCTGCCCCAATTTTATAATGGAGGTAGCTGATCCTCAAGGAGGTAAAGGGACATATTTGAGATCCCATGGCAGGTGAATGGCAGAGTGGAGATTTGTAGCCAGGTCCATCTGGGTCTTCTTTGAGACCCCTCCCCACTGCTCCACTGAGAGTACGCAGCTACAGGATTAGAGAGAAGAGGGGAGGATGGGGACAGGGGATACTCAGTCCCTGCTCTTGTGTTTGCTGCCAGGTGGCAAGAGGAGGTGTGGACGTGATTATCAACTGCACCGGGGTGTGGGCTGGAGCGCTGCAACCAGACCCCCTTCTGCAGCCAGGCAGGGGCCAGATCATCCAGGTGAGTGTGCAGGGGAGACCTGTGGCTTCTGTTGATAGGAAGTCTGCTCTGCAGTGATTACTTCACCTCCAAAGGTAGTGGGCAGGTTAGGAGTATCTATCAGAAGAGCCCCTCGAGACTCTGGGAAATTGACATGTTAAAGAGGACCCCAGGGCCAGCAGGTGGTGTAGTGGTTGAGGCACTAGAATCTCATATGCACAATTCAAGTCCCAGACCTGGTGACTTGCTTTCTCACTTTCTCTCTCTCTATCTTGTCTGTCTCTCTCTGGTGAGTGCACGTGTCTTACAGCAAATTAAATTTAAAATAATAATAATAAATTAAATTGTACATATAACATCACTCCATGCTGCCCCTCACTGTGTGTGCACATGTATGTAAGTGTATGTGTGCATGCATGTCCACATGTGTGTGTGTATATATACACACTCATAGGTGTGCTTGTGTTTGTGCTTATGGTGAGAGCTAATGTACAAGGAGACTTCAAGATGTATGTGGAAAAATGGAATTAAATTACAAACTTAGGGGCCAGCAAATGACATAGCGGTTAAGGTGCTGGATTTCTACATGGCTGACAGCAGCTCAAATCCCAGACCTAGCAGCTTGAGAATCATGCTGGGCTCATGTGCGTGTGTGCCCAAAATCCCAGGAGGCAAATGGGAGAGAAGTGATTGCAGTGTGGCTAATCCCCCTGGGGGGATCATTTCTCACTTTCTCTCTCATCATCTCTCTCCAACAAGCACACAGTCCTATGTCAAAAAAATAAATTAAAATAAACAAATAAATGAAAGTATGAGTTCATTTTGGTGCAAAAAATTTGAAATCCATGTATCCATTTTTCTTAATACGCGCTTTGCATGGACTTTTTGGAGACCCCTCATCTGTACTCGCTTACACTGTGTGCTGGGGCTTTCCTATGGCACGCGGATAAGGGAGTGCAGCGCTTCAGGGAGCAGGGGTGGCTCTCAGTCAGGGCAGCTCTTCCTCTGAAAGGTAAGCATTCAGAAGGAGACTTTGCTGGATGGGTCATAAGAGGGCTGAGGCATCTGCCTTGTGACTCTTGTTAGAACAGCTTGGGAAGGGGCAAGCAGGTGGCATAGAGGTTAAGGAACTTAACTCCTACATGGCTGACTGCAGTTCAAGTCTCAAACCTGGCAGCTTGCTTTCTTATTTTCCCTCTCTCTCTCTTTCTAGTCAAATTAAAACAACAACAACAATAATAGTAACTAAAATAAAAAGATGTCTGAACTGCTTGGGGCCAGCAGATAGCATAGTGGTTGAGGCATTGGACTCCTACACGGCTGACAGTGGTTCGAGTCTCGAATTCTGCAGCTTGAAACTTACGCTGAACGTGAATGTGTGCATACATAAAATCCCAAGAGGAGAATAGAGGAGAAGAGATTGCAGAGTGACCACCTCTCCTTGGGGGTCATTTCTCACTTTCTTTTCCCTGTTTCTCTCTTCCATCTCTCTGGCAACCCATATGCCCTATAGCATAAAGCTTTCTCCAAAAAAAAAAAAAAAAAAAAAAAAAAGCAAAGAAAGAAAAAGGAAAAAAGAATGACAGTTGGTCATAGGGGAGAGCAAGGACAAGGGGAGCCCATTGATTGAGCTCCCCTGACAAGACTTCTCTATCCTAATCAACAGGTGGATGCCCCTTGGATAAAGCACTTCATTATCACACATGATGGAGACCAAGGAGTCTACAAGTCCCCATACATCATCCCAGGGTAAAAACCTGCCTGCCACATGGCAGAGGAGGGGGCACTTTCATGCTCTTTATATGTCTCTTCTGCCTGCCCAGGCCCCTTGCTTGGACCTTGCAGTTAGTTGTTTTCTTCTAATGTTTTTAAAATGAGCTTGAGCCATTAAATCTCTGGGAAGGCAGAATTCAGCCTTGATTGGGTTCTGTCTTAAACATTCTTTTGAATGACAATAATGATGTTGGAGTTGATGGTGACACTATGCACAGTGTGAAGGGCAATAGTGAGAGTAGGGGTGGGAATGTCAGTGGAGGTTGGTGCTGATGACAGTATTAATGGTGGAGGTGATAATATTCATGGAGACGGTGGTGGTGCTGGTAGGATGACAATATTGTTGATAGTGGAATGGTGGTAGCAGTGACAGTATTGTTATTGATGAGTAAGACAACATTGATGGGGCAGTAACTGACATAAGGATAGAGAGTGGTGATGTTGATGCAAGTGGTATGGTGTTGATGGTGGTGGTGGTGACTGAGAGTGGGGATGATCATTGATGCTGACAGAGATGATACTAGTAATGATGTTAATAAAATGGCAGAGATGACAGTCTCAAGGACAATGTTCATGGTGTGGCTGCTCTGACTGACTCGATGGCCATGTTAATGGAGGTGGCAGGAATGATGAAGGGAGTTGATGGCGATGACATATTAATGGTAGTAGTGAAGATCACATTGATGAAGATGACAATATTGATGGGGATATTAGTGATGGTGGTAGAGTTGGTTGGTGCTAATGGTGATGACAATGGCAGCTGGTGGTGATAATAGTGTTAGCGGGGAAGACAGTGTTGATGGTGGTGATTACAGTGGAGGTGGTGGTAAATATGAGCCTGGTGATGACCCTCTTTTGTTTCAAAGGCTTTGTTTTCCTTCATCTTTGAGCCTCTTTTTTTCTATCTAGGATCCAAACAGTTACTCTTGGTGGCATCTTCCAGTTGGGGAACTGGAGTGAAGTGAATAGTGTCAATGACCATAACACCATTTGGAAAGGCTGCTGCAGACTGGAGCCCGCATTGAAGGTAAGGTGGGCAGGGGTGTCAGTGCCCAGACTATGGTGCTGACAGCTTGGTGATGAGAACACTGGGAGATGAGAAGACATCACCACTGGGGTAACTGGGCAAATTAACTCCAGCAAGGGATTATGGAATACATCAGAACTTGCCGATGTACAGGCAAATCCTTGCTATGGGTTAATGAAAGCTGTGTGCCCATGGCTAAGTTTTGTTTCCTCTTGAGATGACTTTCCCAAACAACTTAGTCTGTCTTCACAAGACATTATTATTTTTTTGAGAGATTTTTGCTATAGGGTGCATACACTCACTGTAGAGACAGAGAAAGTCAGAAAGTGAGAAATCAGCCCTCACAGGGGCAATGGCCATGTTGCAATCCTTTCTCCTCCATTCCCCTCCATTCTCTCCATGTAAGTATTCACATTTATGTTAGTTGAGATAGCAGTAGTGATTAAGGTGGTGACTGATGCTGATAGAGATGAAAATGGGGATAGTGGGGTGATGAACTGGTGCCTGTTGATAACATTTTGGTGGCGGCTGATGATGATGGTGGTGGTTGATACAGATGGAGTAACTGATGGAATAGGTGTGAGGTGATGGTAGTGAGATGGTGTTGGTAACTGACATGAATGGTGGTGATGGTACTGGTAATTAATAAAGGCAACTGTGGGGCCAGCAGGTGGCATGGTGATTGAGGTGCTGGACCCTCACATAGCTGACTACAGTTCAAGTCCCAGACCTGGCAGCTTGCTTCCTCAGTTTCCCTCTCTTTCTCTCTGTTGAATTAAAAATGATAATAATAATGGGACTAGCAGTTGGAAGGATGGCTATGCCACTGGACTCTCATAGAGTCAACCGCGGTTCGAGTCCCGGACCTGGTAGCTAAAACTCACGCCATGCGTGTGTGTGTGTGTGTTTTTTTTTTTTTCTTTATGAGTAAACTTTGAGAAATACTTTTTCATCAAGTTCTTAAAGGACTGTTTTACCTGCTGGTTCCTCAGGGAGTAAATAAAAGGATTCAGCATTGGGGCCACGGACATGTTGAGCACTGGTATGCCCTTGGTGCCCAAGATCCTGAGAGGAGAATGGAGGAGAAGGGATTGCGGCATGGCCATCCCCCCTGGGGGATGATTTCTTGCTTTCTGTCCCTCTGTCTTTCTGGTGAGCATACGTGTCCTATAGCAAAAATCGCTCCAAAAAATATAATAATACTAATAAATAAGTTAAATAAATACTTTTTAAAAAATAAAAGTTAAAATATTTTTTAAAAATAAAGGCAAACAACAACAACAACAAAAGAAAACACAAAACCCAGAGTGAGCTGCCAGCATTTGTCTTTTCAGGATGCAAGAATTGTTGGTGAATGGTCTGGCTTTCGGCCAACACGGCCCCAGATTCGGCTAGAACGAGAGCAGCTTCGTGTTGGACCTTCAAACACAGAGGTATGCTCTCCCAGCAAGGAAAGCACTGCCCTCCGGGGCTCCTAAGATGCCTCTGGCACTTCTAGGAACAGTCGTGTCTGATCTGGGGCTCCACACAGCTAACTGGTAGGCAGGGTGGTAGTAGCTAACAGCCTCTCTTCTATAAATGGGGAAACTGAGGCTCAATGATGGTAAAGGACTCACTCAAGATTCCATAGGGGGCGGTGTCAGGGTTCATGAAAGTTTGTGATTGAGTGGAAGAACATGGGGTACCTACTGAATATCCACTTTGTGTCCAACACTGCAGCAGGCCCATGACCCCAATAACCTTATTCAATCTCCCCAGCAATTTTTTAAAAAAAAGTTACAGGGTAGTGTGCTCACCAGAGAGAGAGACAGAGAAAAACAAGAGACAAAGAGAGAGACAGTGAGGAATCACTCCTCAGGGAGGATGGCCATACCACAATCCCTTCTCCTCCATTCTCCTCCTGGGATTTTGGGCATACATGCACACACATGCCCAGCATGATTTTCTGGGTCCAAGGACTTGACCTGTTGTTAGCCATACAGGAGTCCAGCACCTCAACCACTATGCCACCTGCTGCTCCCTCTTCTCAGCAGCTTTACTCTCCATCCTTCAGATGAGAAAACTGGTGCTCAGAGATAACGTCATTGCCTAAGTCAGACCACTGGTGAGGGGCAGGGCTGAGGTATGATTTGAATTTGGCTTGATAGCCATTTCCTGGATGTCCATGTTACAGTGTCCCATTATCTCTCTGAGATCCCTTTAGCTGTCCCCTTAAGGGGTAGGATCTGAGCTTATTGAAATCACAGAAGTTGCCCTGAGCTGGAGAAACTGACCTGAGCAGGTGGCAATGAGCCTTACAACCCCCTGGTCATCTTCCTTCCCTTTTACCAATTCCAGGTATACAGGGTGTGTGTGTGTGCGTGCCTATGTGTGTGTGCATATATTTGTGTGTGTGTGTGTGTGTGTGTTAGAGGGGTTGCGTGTGTATAACAGTTCATGTATTTGTGGGTTGCATGTTTGTGTATGGGAGGTCAAACGTGTGTGTAGAGGGGTCACATATGCATAGAAGTTCATGCATGTATTTGTGTGTTGTATGTTTGCATGTCAAGCGTGTGTGTAGAGGGGTCATGTACACATGTACAGAGGAATTACGTGTACATGTAGAGGAGAGAGTCACATATGGATTCCATATGCCTATGGTTTTAGCTTTGAAGAGTCCAGATATCTTGCCTGTGTCTCAGAATGAACATGTTAGCCAGAGTCTCCCCCACAGCCCCCACCACAGTGCTCTGCATTTCCTTCCTCCTTAATGGGTGGACGCATCTATTAACATAGAAGGTTCATTAGACTAAAACGGGATGGGAATGAGGAAAGTGATTTGGGGAGCTTCCATCTGATGCAGAGGAAATCTCTGAGTTCAAGTTCTAGGTATGATACTACTTTTCCTGCGCTGAGTATATAAAGCAGGTCTCTCTCCCTAGCAGAAGAGAAGTGTCTAGGATGTTGTCCTCCAGCTTGGGGGCTCCCAGCATCCATCCCACTAGGATGCTAAGGAAGCTCCTCAATTTCCACTTCCCTTCTGGACCTGGACACCTCCCTCTTGCCTCTCCTAGGTCATCCACAACTACGGCCATGGAGGCTATGGGCTCACTATCCACTGGGCCTGTGCCCTGGAGGTAGCCAAGCTCTTTGGGAAAATCCTGGAAGAAAAGAAGTTGTCCAGGATGCTGCCATCCCACCTCTGAAGACTCTAGGAACCATAACCACCACAGTCCCCAGCAGAACTCTCCACTCACCTCAGCCAACTGGTCAGTGATAGGCCGTCACATGCTTCCTATTTGACCCCTGAATTCTTTCCGCAAAGAAGCACGAGGTGAGAAGAAAATCCAAGGTCAATTCCTGGAGAAGAGTCCACTCCAAACTCTGAGATAACGGAGGTCTCTCCATCCTTTTTGGGTCTGACATTATGAAGATCAGCTAGCAATTGTTAGTCCATGAGTCTTTAGAAGGAAAGTTCAGGAAATCAAAGAGGTTAACATCCCAGAGTCACAGAAAATTGAGGATGGGTAAGCCTAAGTAACTTGATTACAAGCCACACTAACATTAAAGGCTCTGAAAAGTCCTGCAGCAAAGACGCCTATCATTTAACCCAGTGTTTCTTAAACCAATCTGGCTATGGAAACCTTTTGACAAGATCACCAATAAATACTACAGAACACACTTGCAGACTGTGTAACAGATTGTGTTGTAGGAAATTATATAGAGAACTGGGGTGTGGAGGAAGCAAAAGAGGTGAGGCATTGAACTGGTAACATATGCTACCTGTTTCACCCAGAGTCCTAAATGGCATCAGCTGTCTACTGAATGGCCCCATGGACACCATGTTACTCTTGAAGAGGGGCCACGGGAGGGCTCATCCCACAAAGAACTCCTTCAGAGACGATTAAACTCACCAAGCATTCTCCTCGCTTCAGGGACAGAGTTAATGACTCTCTTGTCTTCTGGCACCCTCTGAGATGAACAGGCTTCCAGATGTTTTGGAAAGCCTTACATGAACCTAGAAGATCCCTTGGCATCTTCATCCCTAATTTTCTGTTTCAGCCTCAGGTTGAATTTTCACCTGTCTGGGTTTTTACCAAAAGTGACAGTGGGCCAGTTGGTGGCATGGTGGTTAAGGTGCTGGATCCCACATGGCTGACTTCTCAGTCCAAGTCCTGAAACCAGCAGCTTGAAAAAAACATGCCAGGCACATGTATGTGTGTGCCCAAAATCCTGAAAGGAGAGAGAGAGAAAGGGGAAGGGATTTCAGCATGACCATCCCCCATGGGGGGTGTTTTCTCACTTCCTCTCTGTGTCTCTGGCAAACACATGCACCTTCTGGCAAAGTAAGACAAACAAACAAACTTGGAGTCCAGACAATTTCACTGATGGGTCTTCAAAAAGTTCATGGAAAATACATATGAAAAAAATGCATGGACTTCGAATTTTTTTCACACCCAAGTCAATTTGTATTTTAATTTCATTTTCCATGAACTTTTTGAAGTCTTCTCATACATCGTGGTACATAGCTCCCTATGTGCGGTGAAGAGATCTAGATCTCTACTGGCCACTCCATGCCATTCCTTTTTTTTTTTTTTTTAAAGATTTTTGCCACAGAGCACATGCACTTGCCAGAGAGACTCCTATGTAGTCGACCGAGACAGAGAGAGAGAAAGTGAGAAATACCCCCAGTGGGGATGACCATGTCATGATCCTTCTCCTCCAGTCTCCTCCTGGGATTCTGGGCATGCACATATGCAAGTCCAGCATGAGTTTCAAGCCACTGGGACTCAAACTAAGGTCAACCAGGTGGGAGTCCAGCGCCTTAATCACCATGCCACTTGCTGACCCTGATATTACTTTCTATTCCTTGCTGTTTCATCCAGTGGGTTCTTCATGAAGCATCTGCCATAATACTGGACAGTTCTAAGCTAAGAAGGGGGACAGAGCCAGGATCTAAGTTAGAGTTCTTTCCCCAAACAGCAGTAATTGTCATGATAGCTAAAACTTAATTATCGTTTAACTGGGTACCAGTTCATGTGCTAAACTGTTGCACACATTACTCATTTAAACCTCAAACGAGTTAGCTATTATCTCCATTACATAGGTAAGAAGACAAGGCACAGGAAGGTAGCCTGAGAGTTGACCTGGGAAAAGAGAGAATGAAGATTCAGGGTCAGAAAGTATATCCTTCTAGTGACGCACTCTCGATTGCTGTACAACACTGAATCCCAAGTTGGGTAGGATATAATATCCACCTATGAAAGAAAAACCTCTTTGAACTGTGACTTCCCCTTTATTCTGGCCTGAAATTCAGAATAGGAGGAGCATGGAGGAATTCTGCAACCCATGTGGTTCTGTAGGTTTTACAATGGCTGATTTTATTATTTTTTAAAGAGGTTTTTATCTTAGAGTACATGCACTCACTAGAGAGAAAAGAGACAGAGACAGTGAGAGGGAAAGTTTGAAATCACCCTCCCAGGGGGATGGCCATGGCACAATCCCTTCTCCTTCATTATCCTCCCGGGATCTTGGGCACACACACACACACACACATGACCCAGTGTGATATTTAAGCCCCAAGCTCCGGACTCAAACCATGGATGGCCACATGGGAGTCCAGCAACATAACTGCTATGCCATCTGTTGGCCCCACAATGGTTGATTTCTGTATTTCTCTCTGGTTAACACTCCTGCTCTTTTCCTGAAGGTAATCTGAAACCACATTTTCAGTGAATTCCTAGCAGCTTGATGACTGAAAAAATTATTATTCTGGGACCAGCAGAAAGTGTAATGGTTATGTCACTGGACTTCCATGCAGTCGACCGTGGTTTGAGTCCCAGCCCTGGGAACTTAAAACTCATGCTGGTGGGACCAGAAGTGGCATGGTGGTTAAGGCGCTGGACACTCCCACATGGCCAACCATGGTTCGAGTCCCCAGCCTGGTGGCTTGCTTTCTCACTTTCCCACTTTCTCTCTCTCTCTGGTCAAAATTAAAAAAAAAAAAAAAAAAAAAAGAAAAATTTTTAAAAAATGAATAAAACTTATGCCAGTGTGTGTGCATGCATGCCCAAGATCCCGAGAGGAGAATGGAGGAGAAGGGATTGTGGCATGGCCATCTCCCCAGGGAGTGACTTCTCACTTTCTGTCTCTCTGTCTCTCCATCAAGCACATGTGCCCTATAGCAAAAATCTCTCTCTAAAAAAAAAAAAAAAAAGACTAGGCTTTTCTCAGTGAATTGTCTTAGCATCTTTGCTGAAAATCAATTGATGGGGCCAGTGGCTGGTGTGGTGGTTGGTGTACTGGATTCCCACATGGCTGACAGGTTCAAGTCCCAGATCTAATGGCTTGCTTTCTCGTCTTTCACTCCCTCTGTCTTTTTCTGGTCAAATTAAAAAATAATAACAAATTAAATTAAATATTTCCTTAAAAAAAGAAAATCAGGGCTGGCCGGTGGTGCAGTGACTAAGGGTGCTGGATTCCCACATGGCTAATCATGGTTCAAGTCCTGGATCTGGCGCCTTGCTTTCTTGCCTTCCCTTTCTCTCTCTCTCTCTGTCTGGTCAGATTGAAAAATAATAATAATAAATGGAATTAAATAAATAATTCTTAAAAAAAAAAAAAAGAAAGAAAATCAATTGACCATACATGCATGAGTTTATTCTGGACTTTATTGTCAATATATCTGTCCTTATGCCAGTACCACACTGTCTTGATTACTGTAGCTTTGCAGTATGTTTCCAAATTAGGAAATATGAGTCTTCTAACTTTATTCTTTTTTCAAGAAATTTTTTGGGGGGCTATTCTGGGTCCTTCACATTCCTGTGTGAATTTTATAATTGAGTTATCAATTACTGCAAGTTGATTTTAATAAGGATTGTGTTGAATCTATAGGTCAGTTTAGGGAGTATTAACATCTTAACAATTTTAAGTCTTCTGGTCCACGAATATGGAATGTCTCTCCATTTATTTAGATCCTCTGTTTCTTTCTGCAGTCTTTTGTAAGTTTTTTCTTTTTAAGTCTCTTGTAGTTTTAGAGAGATTTTCGCTATAGGGTGAGTGTGCTGATCAAACAGAGAGATAGAGAGACAGAGAGCAAGAAATCACCCCCCCACCCAGTGGGGATGGCCATGCTGCAATTCCTTCTCCTTCATTCTCCTCTCGGGATTTTGGGCATGCATGTATACACACCTGGCATGAGTTTTAAGTCTGCGGGTCCAGAACTCGAACTGCAGTCAACTACGTGGAGTCCAGTGATGTAACCATTATGCCATCTGCTGGTCCTTAGTCTTTTGTAGTTTGTATGCTATGCATTCTTTTTGTTAAATTTATTCCTAAGTATCTTATTCTTTTTGATGCTACTGTGAGTGGAACTGCATTCTTATTAATACATTTAGACAGGGCTCTGTTCTCTGACATGGTGAGGAGTAGGGGTATTTGAAGTGGTTCTCATCACATTTTTATTAATTTAGAGTGATTATATGTGATGTATTAGGTCACCAGGAAAGTCATGACATGTTTTTCTATGCAAAAATGCATCATAATTTTCCCAATGACCCAAAAGATGGATGTTCGAAATGTGGGATTCAGTGACTAAAGTGTCACTAAAACCATGAAGCTCTGAGGAGATGGGAGGTGCTATAGGGTGTCCTAGGGCTTCTGAATACTTCATGTGCTTAATTTTTAAATAATTATTTAACTTTATTTTTATTATTATTTTCCAGTTTGATCAGAGAGAGACAGAGAAAGAGAGGGAAAGTGAGAAAACAAGCCACCAGGTCCAGGACTTGAACTATGATCTGCCATATGGGAGTCCAGTGCCTTAACCATCACAACACCTACCAGCCCCTCATGTACTTCTTTTTTCTTTTTTTTTGGAGAGGTTTTCGCTATAGGGCGCGTGCGCTCGCCAGACAGACAGAGAGAGACATAGAGACAGAAAGCGAGAAATCACCCCCCAGGGGGGATGGTCACGCCGCAATCCCTTCTCCTCCATTCTCCTCTCGGGATCTTGGGCACGCACGCACACGCGCCCGACGTGAGATTTAAGCCACCGGGTCCGAGACGCGAACCGCGGTCGACTACGTGGGAGTCCAGCGACATAGCCATTACGCTAACTGCTGGTTCCCTCATGTACTACTTATGACAGTCTCTGCATCCTTCCATTAGGGCCCATATCACACTGTACTGACCTGCTTATATATGTTCCCCCACTATACTGTGACATATGGAGATAAGGATGTATCTTACTATTTTTTATATCCCCATGCATACTGACCACATGCCATGACATGATCTACAAGCTAAGATGAACAAACTCGAGAGTTTCTATATGTGATGCTGTGGATTCCAGACATGCCAGCAACGGTCTGTGATACCTGCTGAAGATGGCATATTTGCATCTCTTGACCACTCCTCCTTGACCCAACTTAATTGGACCAGGATTGGAGCCAGCACTAAACTGGGCCAATCAGTTTCTTTCCCTGAGAACTGGGAGGTAGAACACTGAGCTGCAGAGTCAGATACATTTGCAGAGCTGCGTTCCGAGGTCAGGCAGCCACAGTGAGAGGAAGCCATGTGCACAGCTATGCTTATGCAACAGCTCCAAGGACATAGAAGGAAGCCAGTGTTCAAAAAGGGCAGGAACGCGGGCCTTGGATTCAGGGCGGGAGCTGCCTTGGGCCCTGGAGGCTCCCCAGCCTGTATCATTGTGTTGGATCAGCCTGCACTTGATTTCTGTGTCATCTCTCCAGTCTTTCAGAGGCTACCGACTGGCAGCCCGTCACCCAAACCTGGACCACAGGTGTTTTATTTGACTCCCACATCATTTAAAAATTTTTGAGCCAACATACTCAACTGTGGAGATTTTTATGTAAAAAGTTGGATTTGCGTCTTGGAAATGAGAAGATCTGGTCACACTGGACCCACGGTGCAATAAAACCATCTGGAGCCGAATCATGTGTGCTCTTCGCATGGAGCCTGGGTTTCTCACTCTGCCCCAGTGCTCTCTGCTTCTCCACGTCCCTTACACCTTTTCTGTTTCATTCATTTACATTCCCTGGCAGGCCCTGAAGGAAACTAACTACTGACCCCAGTCTTACAATAAAGCTCCGCTTCATTTTAATTAGCCTGAGCAAAATGTCTGTTCTTTGCGATGAAAACAGCCTTAGTGAGA